TTGATCCCAGGACTCCAGGATTGTGACCTGAGCTGAAGGCAGTTGCTTAACCAACTGAGCCACCCAGGTGCCCCCCTTTATGTGTTTGAGTACAAATTAATTGGAACCCAACTATGTTTGAAACGATGTGGATTACTAATATTTATAGACAAATTTATAGTTTTCAACATAATTTTATATACCTTTTTTTTTTTTGAAGATTTTATTTATTTGAGAGAGAGAGTGGGAGAGAGCACGAGAGCAGGGTGAGGGACAGAGGGAGAAGCAGACTCCTCACTTAGCAGGGACCTCAGTGTGGGACTCAATCCCAGGACTCCAGGATCATGACCTGAGCCGAAGGCAGCTGCCTAACTGACTGAGCCACCCAGGCACCCCTGTATACATTCTTTGATAAAATCTTCATAATTGCCCTGTAAAAGGAAAGTGCTCTTATTTTCTTTGTTATTCCTATAACTTAGGTTAGGAAAGTTAAGAGTTTCACAAGGTCACCCAGCTACTAAGTGGTGGAATTGAGATTAAAAAGCTGACTTTCTCATTCCAGTCCTTCTATATGATATTGTCTGATAAACTAGGGAATTATTTTAAAAAGGATTAGATTAGAATCAGGTATTCCTTCTCTGAGCTAAGCCTTGAGCCAAGTGTAGATAGCATTCTCTATAGGAGCTGGCATTTTCTATGTACCAAGAGCCCATATTACTCTGGGCTTTGTCTTCCATGTCTGCTCTTCCTGATGCCCTCGTTCCTCAGTCTTTTCCCTAGTGCCCATAAATGTCTACATATACACACATGCACACATATACACACTCCAAAACACATTTTTTGTGTGCTGCAACCTTGAACTATAAGCTATTCAGGATTATTATGTAATGACCTTTGCTGATGAGCAACTTCTGAGTAATAGGGATATTTTAACTGTAATTTGGGTAAATCCTTTGGTTTCTTGAAAATCTCTGTACCAATTCACTTACTGTACTTTCTTCCACAAGTAAGCTATTACGAGCTGGATATCCAGAACCTGACTTAGTAAGCATAGATTCTTTGAGACCAAACCAGCTCCAAAGGTCATGGGGAATTAACCCAGTTTTACTTGTCTGGTGATATATTTTATACTTTCATCATTATACTCAGAATGTGAGGTGGAAAGGCCTTCTATTGCAAAATCATCTATGTCTAGTTCCTATTTAATACCTACCTAAAAACAAACAGATGTAGAAAACTTAGGCATCTGTGTATTTTCCTATACATATTATAAGTGCTTATGCCATATTTTGAGCAAACAGGGCAACTAAGAAATGTTCTACTGTTTCATGTTTTGAAATGCTGACTGGATAAAGATTACAGATGACAAGTTATTTATAGCTTTATTTATACATACTGGGTTCTCTGTTGGAATCATAGGAGGAAAGAAGATATGATAATTGCTTTGTGTAGTTCACAGAATGAAATTGCGAACTGAGATGTTTTGAGTCTAGTTTATACTATAACCATTTCTAGGAAACCATATTTAAACAGCACTGGTTATCATGAAGTATACAACATGTCAACTGTGTCCCAATTCGCATCAGTAAAAACCTTCTACCACTTTATTCCCTATAACCTAACCTCCATCAGATAATACTAAATAAACTATGTTGAGTGCACATATTAATATATATCAAATGTATCAAACGGCTTGCTGACTGCATTTTCAGTAGTGTTTATCTGTGGTCATGCAGGTTATAACTCTGAATTTTTATCAGGAAAACTAAATTGAGAATTTATAATATTCCTGATTTAGCTTCACCAGCTGTGCCACAGCCATGGAAAATAACTTGAGAGGGTAAAAATCTAACAGTGAGTAAGAGAGCAATAGACAAATTGCTTTTGCTTCATGCTTACCTGCTTTGCATCTGCTGCTAGAAGGTTAAGGATCACAGATAATAATTAGTAGTCTCTTAATTTATATATCATCACTTCAGCAAATTGTGTCATGTATTTTTTGGTTATCTCATAAAATAAGAATATGATTATTAAATGCTGTGTAATTTTGAGAGTCTTAAAAAATGATTCTTTAAAATGTGCATTTTCTTTTTTTCCTCTATCTTTTACTCATTCATTTTTAAATTCAACAAATATCCAGTGAGTTCTAAACATGCCAGACATGTGCTGGGGATAGACATGGTACCTGTCCTCAGGGAGATTAAAATCTAAAAGGGTAATGTGTTATTAAACATTGTACAGTATATAGAGCTTTTTTTCCCAAGGGGTTTTTTTTTGTTTTTGTTTTTGTTTTTTTTTTTAAGATTATAATTGACACATAACACTATGTAAGGCTAAGGAGTACAATGGAATGATTTATATAGGTACATATTGTAGAATGATTCCACAATAACATTGGTTAACATATTCATCACTTCATATAGTTAACCATCTTTGTGTGTGTGTGTGATGAGAACTTTTAAGATCTACTCTCTTAGCAACTTCCAAGTATGCAATGCAAGATTGTTAATTGCAGTCACTATACTGTACACTAGGTCTCTAGAACTTTAAACTGTGAATCTTGAAAATTACTCTAGCACCAAAAAATTTTATAATTTCATTCATTAAAACAGTCACAATGAAATAATAGTATAAATTGTTCTGTTTAGAAATCAGACAATTTGGAGCCAATGAAAAGTAACCTAACTCCTTGTATTTAGAGGAAATACTGGGTTGGCAGAGGGATATAGTAAGTAATGCAAGAAGTCCCTATAGATAGTTAATTTAATTGTGGAATTGTTAACAGAGAGCAATGCGTGGGATCTCTCATTATGAACATTTCTCTTCATTTCCTGCTATAGGATGGTGAATAATAAATAGGGAGTTGCTTGGTAAAACCTGTACACAAACTTGTGGGACTTGACAGATAAGACTGATTCCTGCATATGAATAGATAAACTTTAGAACTATTTTTTTTATGTGATGTAATTATCAGTCTAGGTCTTATATATTTTATGTGATGTAATTATCAGTCTAGGTCTTATATATTTTATAAGTAGCTATTTGACAATTTGTTTTGGTAGCTAGAGATTTAAGCTACCACCTGGGCCGTGACCTTGTTCTTTTAATTCACCACTGCACCCTGCTGTCTTATACATCACCTACCATACAAACTGCTATAGTTTCTTGAAGTAATGTAGACACATTTTTGTCATGTACTTTTATAGAGTTTTCAGTTACTTGTTCACAGAAGAAACAACTTCTTTCCTGTTAAGTGAGAATGCCTTCCCAGTCAAAAATATTCTCATATTCTAGTTATTCATATTAGGAAGCCTCCATTGACAAACAGCATTACTGCTAGTAATAGCAGTGATGAGCTATACATACCTACTATAATACTAATTCTCAACCACTATTGCTTGAGCTACATTTTATAAATGAGTAAACTGAAGATTTTGGATATTAAGTGTCTTGTCCCTGGCCACAGAGCTATTATTAAATGATGAAGCTGTGATACATTTATAACAATTAAAAAATACATAAGCCAGCATACATTGAGCACTTAATTATACACATCAGGTACTATACAAAATATTTTACATTTAGCCTCACTGTAACAATATGAGGGAAACATGGTTATCATTGCCATTTTTCATATTTGAAAATAAGGGACAGAGAAGTTAAATAATTTTTCAAGGGTACGTGTAGTTAACGGTGAAGCCAGAAGGTCTTTCCTCTTATACCACCTCCCAAACGTACAGTTAGAATTGATATAAGGGCAATATGATTTATGACTGTTTGGAACATTCATGGTTTAAAATTTCAGTATTAGGGTTTTTTTTTTTTTAATTTTATTTATTTATTTGGCAGAGAGAGAGAGAGAGAAATAGCACAGGTAGGCAGAGTGGCAGGCAGAGGGAGAGAGAGAGGCAGGCTCCATGCTGAGCAGAGAGCCCAGGACCCTAGGATCATGACCTGAGCCAAAGGCAGATGCTTAACCAACTGAAGCATCCAGGCGCCCCTCCGTATTCATTTTTTTAAAGTATTTTCTGCTATACTCTTGATTACGAAAATGCCTCAGTTTGTAAAGATAATTATAAAATATCCCTCTGAATGGAAACTGAACCTTATTTTGTGGATAGCAAATAAATTGGGTTCCTCGATCAGAGGAATGTTCAGTCTCATTTATTGTGATCATGAATGTGGTTTTTATATAATTTCATTAACAGTCATGGATTGACTAAATTAAATTTTTTTCTATTGTATGTGTTGCATTTCTGTCTTTTAAACTTTAGGAATAGTGATTTTTTTTTTTTTTTTTTGGTCTTCATGGGCATCCTGGGGAAAAACCATTGATTTATAGTATAAATGTCTTCCCTTTGGCCAAAATAGAGCAGGATTAGATTTTTAATAAATCATAATTTTATATCATGATTGTTTACTGGGGTACCATTTATAGAGTATGGCTTCCAGACATTGAATTTGGCATAGTTTCATTTTTGAAAGGGCTAATTTTTTTCCCTTAAAGTTGTATTTTGAATTATACTAGAGGTAACTTAGAGTTGCTTTATGTAACTCTTAAGTTCTTTTTTTTATCTTTCTCCTTCTGACTGTCTTTTCTGGGAGGAAGACATTCTGATCTTGTAACTGGCACATGCTTATAGTTTATTTTAAAAGAAATTTCAGGCTTTTGGAATTACCTGAAGATATTTTTTTAAAAAAAATTAGATGATAGAGAACTAAACTTAAATAGGGAGTTTAGTCAGTGACTTTAGGTATCTGTGTTTGGTGACATGAGAGATATAAAGATGACAAAAAGTTGATACCTCTATCCTGGGGCTTGTAATCTGTAGCTGACCCAGACAAATACATAAATAACTATAATGCAAGGCAGGCTATGATAAGTACTGTGGTATAGGCATCAACAAAGTGCAGTGGGAAATCAGAATAGAGAGATTAATCCCAAATGGGAGGATCTAGGAAGTTCTCATGGAGTAGGTAGGATTGAGTAGAGCTTAATTTATTGCTTTCATTCATTCTAGACTGTCTTCTGAAGATTGATGTCTATTTCCTTGAGCTCTTTAATTTTGTTGCCAATTTGGATAAGCATGGCACAAATCCAGCAGGGAGGTCCAGATGAAAAAGAAAAGACTACAGCACTGAAAGGTACATACTTATTTTGCTTTTTCAGGGTATTTTCATTGTGCCTAATGAAGGCATAGGAATATTTAGGTGATCTTCCATTCATTTCAATTCTAAAATAAGAATGTGAGTTTTTAATCCATCTGTAATGGATTAACAACTGTTTCAGTATCTGAGATGGAGTATATACTCAGTAAATAAATCATAAAATCATGTAATTTTATAACTAAGAATTCATAACCCTTTTCTTATCCAAAGTTGTATATTTAATGCTAAAACTAACACTAGGTCTCTTGAGTTAAGACTATTGCCTTTATCATAATTTTTTTGATCAGAATGTCATGCTAGGCTAGGATAATGATCTGCCTAATAATCCAGTATTCTATCTTTGTGGCATTAATTAGGGGTATTTTTTGAAAGGCTCTCCATGTTAACACCTTGGAGGGAATTTACCTTAGACATTCTTTGAGAATTTTGAGTTCTAGACTTTTTTAAGTCTGCAGTCTAAAAGAAGTTTACTCCTAAAATAAGTGTGCTTTGTTGAACTGAAAGATCTCTTCAACGGATTTTCTTAAAGTTGAGATGCCCACTATGCCAGATAATGAGTCTCTTTACTTGTTCAGTGTAGAGTCTTTGTGGTCTCTACGGTGCTTTGCAGGTAATGCCACAGACCATCTTGATTGCAGCCATTTTTCTGAATCCCTCACTGCTGTTCTGTCCTGTTTTACGAGGCTGGATGATAAAGATACCTCAAGAATCTCTCCTTCTACCTTTTATCTCTTTTCATGAAAGCCTGAAGCATATATATGACAACACAGCCAGTTTCTTAGCTCACAATTTGCCTCATCGTGTCCCTGCTTTTAGAGCTGATGTTCTGTCAAGGGGATGGTGTAACTAGCCCTTACCTTCAAATATGGGAAATGGCTAAGAGCATTGCTTTCTCCTGACAAATGTGAGAGATGATGTTGTGTTGGATTAGGGTGGTAACAAAAGAGGATGATGACAGATTCTGTTTATGTTTTGAAGGAAGAGATTACATGATTTTCTGTTGGATTAGACATGGGATGTTAGAGGAGAAATCAAGAAAAATTTGAAGGTTCTTGGCCTAAAAAGCTCTAAGATAGATGCTATGTATTAGATTTAAAAAACTGTGAAAATCAAGTTATGGTGATAATAGTGGAAAGCAAGAGTTAGGTTTTAGACATATTAAATATTAAACTGAGATGTCACTTAAACGGAAAGGTAAAGAAGTTGAGTATGGAGTTTGGGAGAGCATTTGGGTTAGAGATAGAAAATTTTAGGAATCATTAGCATGGAGGTAATATTTAAAGGACCAGAGCTCCTAATTGAGATCACCAGGGATGTCAGTATAGACAGAAAAGAAGAGATCTGTAGATTGAGCCCTGATGCATCTCAACTCTAGGGTCAGGAAGATGAAGAGGAACCAGCAAAAGAAGCTGAAAATGGATTTCTAGTAAAATAGTCTGAGAACCAAGAGCAAGAGAGAGATCCTGAATGCCAAATGAAGAAAATGGGAGTAATTCATTCAGTCATGATAATGATTCAGGTTAGACGAGGACTGAGAAATTACTTTTAGATTTGACGGTGTGGAGGTCATTAGTGATCATCACAACGAGCTGTTTTCATGAATTGGTGGAAATGAAAGCCACATGGGAGAGTTTCCATAGAAAATGGAAAGAGAGGAATTGGAGAAAGCTGTGGAAATTCTGTAGAAGGTTTTAGTGTATGCTTGTATGCTGCTGGAAATGACTAGCACTCTCAAAATAATGGCTGATTTAGGAGAGAGGTGAAGGAATGTGTGTATAGACTCACTGGGTTTCCTAGATAGATTTTTTGTGCATCTTCAGCCTTACTTGATAATGTGAAAATTACATTTTCCAAATAGTCGTTCCAATTTACACTTTCTCAAGCAATATATAAGAGTTTGCATAGGTTTTCTGGATTTTAGAGCTACTAGATGTATCTAAAAAGAGTATGGATAGGGTCTAAAGGTGAAATTGCCTGGATTCAAACTCAGGTTTTTCTGCTTACTGTGAACTAGCTACTTACCTTCTCTGAATCTTTTAATTAATTGGTAGTATAGGAATAAAAAGCCTGGTACACATGAGCTTCTAACAATTAATGAAGGAGTTAAATTGGAAATAATAGAAAATAAAGTGACAGTGCATAGCAAAGTATATTTAGAACAAATTGTCAAACTGAATTAAACTTTATCTTTAGAGAAGTCTACTTATCAGTTTTAACTTTTATGGATTATGCTTTTAGTGCCATGTCTGTGCATCCTTTGCCTAACCCTGGTTTGTGAAGATTTTCTCCTGTGTTTTCTTCTAAAAGTTTTATAATTTTAGATTTTACATCATGATACATTTTGAGTTAATTTTTATAGAAGGTAGGAGATCTAAGTCAAGGTGGGTGTTTGGTTGGTTGGTTGGTTTTGGGGGGCCTGTTAATGTCTATTTGCACCAGCACCATTTGTGAAAAGGACTGTCTTTCCAACATGGAATTATTTCTTCCATCTTTGTAAAAAATGAATTGGTTGTATTTGGGTGTTTGGGTGGCCTTATTTTGGGTTCTTTCTTTTGCTCCATGGATCTGTGTCTATATCTTCATTAATAATCACACTCAATTGATTACTAGTATATCTTAAACATGAGTAGAATGATTCTTCCCATTTTATTCCTTTTCAAAATTGTTTAGCTATTAGCTATTCTAGGTTGTTTGCTCTTCCATATAAATTTTAGAGTAAAATTATATCTGCAAAAAAATTAACTGAGATTTTGATAAGAATTATATTTAAACCTATAGATGAATATGGTGACAATTGACATCTTTATTGCATCTTTCAGTCCATGACCTGTTATGTCTCTCATTTATTTAAATCTTCAATGTCCTTCATGAGCATTTTGTAATTTTAAACATGTAAGTTGTAAACATTTGTTCTTAGATTTATACCTAAGATTTAATTATTTTTTTAATTTTTTTTAATGATTTTATTTATTTATTTGAGAGAGAGAGAGCATGAGAGGAGAGAGGTCAGTGGGAGAAGCAGACTCCCTGCCGAGCAGGGAGTCTGATGTGGGACTCGATCCCAGGACTCCAGGATCATGACCTGAGCCGAAGGCAGTCGCTTAACCAACTGAGCCACCCAGGCGCCCCCTAAGATTTAATTATTTAGAGTGATTGTAAACAGTGTTGTGTTCTTAATTTCAGTTGCCACATATTAACTGATAATTTATGGAAATATAATCAAGTTTTACGTGTTTCCTACGTGTTTTTACGAGTTTCCTAAAGTCATTTAATAGTTCAAGGAATTTTGGGGGTAGATTCCTTGATATTTTCTGTGTAAACCATCATGTCATTTGCACATTGGACAGTATGCCTTTTATTCCCTTTCTTGCCTTTTTTGTACTTACTAGGATTCCTAATACTCTGTTGAATGAGAATAGTGAGAAAATGGACATTCTTTCCTTGTTCACTAGGGGTGATAGTGAATGGTGATACTCCCATTTTATCCCTTTATTTTTAGACCTGTAAATTATGGCTATGGTAAAAATAGCACCATATATTGGACACTGATTCTGAGTATGTACAGCCTTCTGAAGAATCTTGCTCAGCCCAGCAAGGTTCTATCACCTTGCTGGCACCGTAATCTTCAAAAGGCCATTTCACCATTCTCTCAAACTAGCTGTTTCAGGATAGTGGGGAAAATGGTAAGACCATTGAATTTCATGAGCATTGGACCATTGCTGCAGTTCTTTTGCTGTGAAGTAAGTTCCTTGATCAGAAGCAATGCTATGTGGAACACCATGATGGTAGATAAGGCATTCTGTAACTCCACGAGCAGTAGATACAGTAGAAGTATTACATGTGGGAAAGACAAATAGTATTCAGAGAAAGTGTCTATTCCAGTAAGAACAAAAGGTTGCTTCTTTCCTGATGGAAGTGGTCTGATGTAATCCACTGTGACCAGGTAGCTGACTGATTACTTACAGGAACGATGCCGTATTGGTGACTAAGTGGTGTCCTTTCCTGCTGGCAGATTGGACAATCAGTAATGGCTGTGGCCAGGTTGGCTTTGGTGAGTGTAAGTTCATACTGATAAGCCCATGCATAACAACCATCTCTGCCACCATGACCACTTTGTTCATGAGCCCATTGGGCAATGACAGGGGTGGCTGGGGAGAGAGGCTGACTGGTCTCCACAGGAGTCATCTTATCCACTTGATTATTAATATCTTACTCTTTTGAGGTCACCTTTTGGTGAGCGTTAATTTGGGACACAGATATCTTTCACTTCTTTTTCCTTTTCAGAGGGGACTTACTCACATAACTCTTTCCCAGATTTTCTTGGTACCAGTTTTTTAATCCAGTTCCTTCCAGGTCCATGACCTTCCATTGTTCCATACCCTTAATATTTATTCCCACACATGTTCTCTGGATTTCTATCTGTATAAATTCGAAAAACCAGGTAGTTCTTTTGTTGTGCTTTTGTTGTGTACCTCCTTATGAGTCACACTTTATACCTCACCTTTAGTGGTCTGCTATGACTGGAGTGTAGTTGAAAGTCTAGATGCAAAGAGGGCTTTGGGCTGTGGGTCCTGAAGAGAATCAGCTTATTTATTTATTTATTGAGAGAGAGAGAGAGAGAGAGAGAGAGAGAAAACAAGCAAGGGGGAGGGGAAGAGACAGAGAGAGGGAGAAGACTGCCCTCTGAGCAGGGAGCTCATGTGAGACTTGATCACAGGACCTGATATCATGACCTGAGCTGAATGAAATTAGACGCTTAACCCACCTAGCCACCCAGGTGCCCCAAGAATCAGCTTTGTCTTGCCTGGCAACAGCCTCAGGGGAGGGCGAGACAGCTTCCTTAAACAAAGGTTTAATTTTCCCAGACTAAGGTAGAGAGACTGCTTCTACTGAGGGTGGGAAAGCTTCCTTTGACAAAGAATGGTCAGAATTTAGAGAGTCATTGTCCTTAACTGCATTCCATTCCAATTTGCAGG